GGGTCACAATGAAAATCCTTTTTAAGTCTTAAAGGTACAAAGCTCTACCATCAAAGAATCTTAGCAAAACTCATGCTGGGCTCCTGGCACATTTATCTAATCCATCCAACTGTTCTTTGATGGCTTAACATGTGAAACTTCACATTCTCTAGCATTTGAATCAGTAGATCTAACATGACCCATTTCCTTCTTACGCCAAAAATCTGTTTCCTTTATAGGATTTTGATTTAGGTTACAATTGGCAGACATTCTGTTTTATAACTACTAATGTGCCACCCTTCACTTCCTGAACTGCCAACTGCATTCTTTCTAACAAAAGATCACAGCCCTTTCTCAAGAAAGAACCTAGGGATTATGTTAGGGGAAAAAAGGCTCAAAAGGTTTTATTTGTTCTTTCAGTCAGAGAGCATTTCATAGTCAGTAAAAATAGCTTAAAAACAGCTTGAGGTAGAGCAGGTGTTGTCTTTCAGTTGCCATCATCTACTTTCATACTCTATAAAAGGAAGTGTACAACAAAGTGCAAACAATTTTACAGCTAGAAGGTGCTGCTGCTGGGCATAGGTGAACACTGCTGAGAAGCTCACAGTCTCTGTCTCTCGAAGTTCACACTATACACTGTATGTGTAGAGCTAGCAGATATAACTTCTCTTTAAGGTACCTAAGGTTCTGTCCAATTTAATTGGCTCAACTTCCTGTGGCTTTGCACAAAATGAGTAAATTCAAAGGGTCTAACATGTTACAGATTTGATTTCTTATGGCTTTCCTTCATTATCTCCTATATATGTCTATCACATCAAATTGTTTTAATAGTTATTAATCTTTAATACAGTTCTTTTGCTTCTTTGCAATTGTATCATTAGAGCTCAGTGGGGGCATACAGTCTTCAATTTCTATTGTCATTAATTTTCTACCTGTTAAGGGAAGCTGTGATTTAGCCAGCACTTTGAAAGTATGGGGAATAATAAAATGTTTTGCTCTCTCTCTCTCTCTGGTGATCCCATGTTGAAGTTTGACATTTGACATGTTTGGTAATCAGTCATTGCATATTTTTAAACTCCCTGAAGAGAAACTGCATGTGATGTCTGTGGATGTGTCTGCTATCGTAGGAGGCAGCCATATACTCTTCTAACCATTTGAAAACAAAATGAGAGGAAATTTAAAATTAACATAGCAGATTAATGATTTATTAACACCATAAAGCAGTTCTTAATTATTTTTAGGCCATGAAAGAATTTCTCTTGAAAATCTTATTAAACCCAAGGATCCTCTCCTCAGAAAGGCAGCACTCATATATGTGCTTACTCACAAATGTACTTTCATAGTTTTACATGTGCTTTTAAGGGTTTTTTGGTTCTCTAGAAACCTATCCATGAATTCTAGTCAACAACACTTGTTTCATGTTATCCATTTATATTACATGTAAATATATGTTTATATATGTATACTAATCATACATAGACACATAAACGTTGTATGTTATAATAAAGTGACATGCATGATATACATTTATATAATATGACAGATTTGCATTATATATTATACAATATGATGGATTTATGTAATACATATTATCCATGTCATTTTATTACATAACATATATATGTAAGATATAAAATAAAGGTTAACTAGAATTCATATACTACAGGCTTCCGGAGAACTAAAAACCCAGAAATATTTATATAAACTTGTTCTGTTCAAGTGAGAAGGTGGGGCTGGGTAGAGAGATATTAACTGAACTTCAGGCTTTTCTCTATTTACTGAAGTTAAATACTTATGAAATTAATACTTTTGAAGTACCACAAAGATACTTAGAGGAACTTAGTTGGGAAAAAATGAAAATTATTGCATTAATTGTGTTAAAGATATCAGATATCAATTAGAATGAAGGTTGGTCAGCTATGGAGGTATGGCAAGATTTAAAGAGATGATAATTTTTTGGTTGTACTTCAACCCCAATGCTCCCAATGACCAGAGGTGTGATCATAGAGCAGAGAAGATAACTAACTATAGCAGTAGAGACACCAAAAGAATGTAAAAAAAAAGAACTGCTACATAATTTCAGAGGAGAGAGAACTATATGTGAAAATGACATTTAACTCAGCTATGGGAAGGTTTTCATCTTATACATCTCTGCTTGCTTTCTGAACACACTTTACATATGTAACTTGTTACCTGTAAATTCTTTCCTGATGGCTCTAGGCTAATTATCACAAGGCCACAGTGCGATTAATATATACTATGCTTTCATCAAAGTGCTGTCTTAGTCTGCTTTATAAAATGGAATGAAAACAATATGATGATGGTTGCTAGGTATAGGTAAATGCTAAGAGAACTTTTAAAGATTTATTTTAAATACACAGACACAAGATAAAAAATCTTGAGGCAAACATTTTTAAATGTTAAAACTCTTATTTAAAAAACACCATGGAACCTCTCTGTACTATTTTTTTGCAACATCCTGTGAATCTATATTTCAAAATAAGTTAAAAACAAAAGACGACAATCCCTGCATATATCTACTGTTCACACATTTGAAAAATACAGATGGTATAAAAAGGCAATAAGTATAAAAAGTGTAAAAAATATGTTTGCCCACAATATGGAATATAATTATGAAGTGGAATATTAGCCAAGAATCTTGAAAAAGAAAAATTTGAAATTGCTTTCTATAAATCTGAAAAATTAATAGAAAAATCTTTTAAGAGAAAACCAAATACTTATGAAGTACCTTTAAATAGCCTAACATGTATATATTTGGAAGACAAATAAAATGTTTTAAATAATGATTTTAATATGTGATCATTTATAATTCATTTGTAAGTCCTAAGCATAAGTTTCTAAATATTAGAAAACTGAGCAAAGGGTAAATTATGTTTGTTTAAAATACAGTATTTAATTATTTAACTAATAATTTCTTTTAGAAAGTGCAGGGTTAAATTAAATGCACAAATTAAATTAACATAAATTAAAATGCAATCAGTAACTGTTATTAATTAACCAAAAAAAAATTAAAGTCAGGTACACATCTAGGTTCCAATGGAAACTGGAAACCTGTATGAGAATGAAAATGTGGAGAGCATCTGGTGTGTGAGTGAAGCTAACAGGAAAGAGAAAGATCTAGAGGTAGGGTGGGAAACAGAGCCAAGTGCCAACAGAGGGATGGATGGAGGCAGAAAGCAAGACTGATAGAAAGAAGAGGTAGGGAGAAAGAGGCACAAAGGAGCAAAGAGAGAGTGAAACAGGGAGAAGGAAGAGGTAGGGGAGGCAGACAGAAAAGAAAAGGATGGGCACATAGAGAAACAGACAAAGGGAGAGGGAAAGATGAATAGAGACTAACAGAAAGGGAGAGGAGGAGACAGACAGAGAGGGAAAGTGAGAGACAGAGGAAAGGAGTTACAGAGATAGGAAGAGGGAGTCAGATGGGCAGAATAAGAAAGAAAGAGAAGAGAGAAGAAGAGAGAGAGATTAAGATTGATTCAGTTAGAGAGGAGAAAAGGACATAGACCCTGAGACACCAGATAAATGGACAGAAAGAGAGAGAGACTGAGACAAGATAGGAAAGACAAATGAAGAGAGAGGGATAGAGGAAGATGGGGGGAGAGAAGAGATAAATAGAGGAGAGATGAATTCTCAGAAAGTTAAACAGAGAGAGAAAGGGAGGGAGGAAGAGACAGAGAGAAACAAACAGAAACCTAAAGGAAAGAAAAGAAGAGATGAAAATGAGAAAAGACATAAAAAAGAAAAAAGCAGAATGTGACAAAGGATGGATAAAAGCAGTTGTGGGCAATAATTCAGAGTATGTGTTGCTTACTTTAATTTTTTTCCTAGTTCCCAATATAAAACTTAAAATCAAAAGCTTAAAGAAAATGACGGCAAAATTCTCCTGGCATTAGGTTGAAACCATGCATCTGATAAAAGGCCCTAATTTTAATAATAGCTCTTAATATTTTCATGACCCTAATTACTTACACAGTTGGGAATCAGAAATAGACAAAAGAAAAAAAGCAATGATATTCGGCGTTGATAAAAGGCCATTCAGTGATTTTCCTACTATTTCTTCTAAAAAGAAGGTAAATTATTTCTTTAGAATAAAATAATTTCACATATGGGGAGGTTTCAAAATATCATAGCAATTCCAAATCCTGTTAAAATTCCAGCTAATTTCAGGTAAAAGCATGTAAAATTCTCAAAAGCCTTCCAAATAATTCAGTTACACACTAATGGACATTCTTTAGTTATTTATTAGTTATTTAGTATTACCTATAAGGTGAGATTCTAGTTGTGAAGAATCAAAATATGAAGGTATATGTCAAAGTTTTCAGACTATATAACTAGACATTAGATTCTCCTTAAAAATTACAGCGTTTGATTAGCATTTGCTCTCTTTTGCAATGTGATATTTGATTATACTAATCACAGCAATGACAGATCTAGGTTTTGCTGTTATAAGCACTTTAAAAATTATTCCATCTCTTTTCCAAAAACAGGTACAAAAAAATTAACATGAGTTTTGAAAGTTAAGGTTCTTAGTTTCTTATTTCTAAAAGAAAACAATCTCACTTTCACTGTATTTGTTCTACAATAAAATTTTAAAAACTGAACAGCCATGCAGCATGTCTATTTTATGAGGAATATGAAAAAGAAGTCATTTTTCCTAGCTAACAATTTGTTCTACTATACACAAATACCAATTAGCACACAGGTAAGCCATCCTATCGGCAAGGTACAAAAAGTATTGAAAATTTGAGAGGAAAGGGATAAGAAATTGGTGATATAGCCGAGAAGTACATTACTCCTATTTTTTATTCTGTCAACCTAAACAAATATATCTTTGTAAAAATAAGCAAAAACCATTTTTAAAATGCTCTCATTTTGGATATGGTAAGGATTTTGTCACAGATACCTCTAACAAAAATTATGGCACTAGGTGAACATGAATAATTCTTCTTATATTTGATAACACATTGACAAATTGAGCAAATGAATTAAGAGTCACATACCTTCATTGTACTGGTATTTGCTTCATCATATAGAGTTAATGAAGATGTACTTTCCATAGTATCTGATCTGTAAACTGATGCTCTGCATTGCTCCTCTACAGAGCTCACCGCACACACATCTAGCTGATTAGTCAGGCATTAGGAAAGCTCGCTAGAGCAGTCTAAGGCACTTGCTGAGGAGGACTCAGAGACAATAGAAAGTCAACAGCTGTATGTTGTGATGTCAGTAACACTCTAGCCAGTCACCACCCAGAATATCTGAAATGCATCAGAAGCTATATTGAGCTCTTCATTAGCAATTCAGAAGCAATGATGCAAAAGCCCATGAAACTGTGAATGTGCAAAGACTGTCAGGATTTTTGAGATTTCTTGCTATTAAAATATTGTTGCACAACGATGCCTGACCCTACAATGATGAAAAAAAGTTGAGATAATTATGTTTCCATAATTCCCCGAAGAACAAAACATAAGGAATCTAGCCACAGTTAATACATCAATTTTTAAATAACTCCTTTTGACACTTCTAATATTACTAATAAAAAGCCTAAAAAAAAAGGCAAATCGTCACAATAGCTGACTTCCCATGACAGTTTTGCATCTTTTGACTGTCTTTGTCACCAAGAAAGAAAATGTGCATTAAGAGCACAATTCTTTATTTCTTAAACTGTTTTTGCTAAAATTAAAATGAGCTTGCTTACTCTGGCACAAGCATTTCTTCTTCATACCAACAGATGGAGGTAGCAAAAGAGCTACGATCAGAGGACAATTCTGCCTCGTATCAGATGCTTGTTAGCTACATTAGCTCAAGTGGAGAACTTAAAAGAAAAAGAATCAACCAAAACCAAATTAAAAAAAATGTTTAATAACTATGAGAAGACAAAATAAAATGAAGAAAACAGAAAACTAATTGTGTCCATTGGGTAAAACACTGAATAATCAGATAAGTGTGATTTTTTGGATTGTTATTATTTTCTGTAATAGCTGGGTAAAGTATGTGCCTCTGTTTCCCATTTTGTTAAACAAAGATACTCCTTTCCAAAAGCACATAGGAATGCTATAAAGATCCAATCAGACAATGCTCATACATTACCAGTGTTATTTGAAGAAAAATATGTGTACTACTAAAAATACCACACTTCTCTGCCACTAAAACATTAAGGCATCTAGTGTTTATATAACCCTACAGCCTAACAGACCAGCAGTGCTCTTTATACCAGCTCAGTAAACACTAAAAAATACCAACTTTATAGTATAATTTCAAAAGATATTGTTATTGCTTTTACAAAAATAGGCTTTATTTCAGCCCTATAGATTTATGTCAAAAACCCATATAAATACACAAAATCTTCCCTAACTAGTCAAAAAACAAAGTGATAAGAGAGCTAATAACAGTGAGTCTTGTCTGAGAGGTTTCATGCTAATTTACCTAAAATTTTTGCAGTGTGCAATCCTTTACTATGCCCTGCATACCTTTTTGGTACTCAGGTTTTTTGTTTTTGTTTTTAAAGACAGAGTCTCACTATGTCACCCTAGTAGAGTACAGTGACATCATCATAGCTCACAGCAACCTCCAACTCCTGGGCTCAAGTGATTCTCCTGTCTCAGCCTCCCCAGTAGCTGGGACTATAGGCATGTGTCACGAAGCCCAGCTAATTTTTTACTTTTAGTAGAGATCAGGTCTTGTTCTTGCTCAAGCTGGTCTCGAACTCCTAAGCTCAAGCAATCCTCCCACCTAGGCCTCCCAGAGTGCTAGCATTATAGGTGTGAGCCACTGCACCCAGCCAGTACTCAGATATTTTTAAGAGGTAAAAAGCAAGTGCCAGCCTAAGTATCCATAAAACAAATACCCAAGCTGACTTTTCTATGCATAGTTACTGTTTCTACCAAAGGGTATAAATGCTTTGTCTCAGATAAAAAAAATCTGTTACTCATGAGAAACATAATTTCAAGGCAGCTTTACTTTAAAAGTGTAATAGAAACTCTTGTTGTGAAACAGAAAAGTTGATATGAAGAATAATGAAACAATCCACTTATGTTGTGGCAAAAACTAAAATGAATATTTCTATATATGAAATAATTCTATTTTTCTAAGTTTTAGAAACTGTTAGGCCTTATAAATTCAAGTAATTCTGAATTAGTGAAAAATCATAATAAAAAACCCTTAAAATGTAGTTTTATTACTGTTAAGTAGAGGCCTCCCTCTAATTCTGAATGGAAAGGACTTAGATGTTAATAGTGAGCTCCAGCAATAATAAACCTTTAATTTAGGAATAATCTACGATTTGCTAATAAAGACACAGAACCTTCATTTCAATACTGTTTGTGGCTGATACACCATTAATTATATGAGTTGACTCTGTCTCTACCCTACAAATATTTAACACAAATAGTGAAACAAATTTAGAAAGCTTTCTGATGATGCTGTGGAACTATGCTTAAAACATGCTACCAACGTCAGGTAATGAAGAAAACTTTCAAAGAATAAATACTCAATAACAGAAACTTGAGTGAATGAGATTTAACTGTGTGCTTACATCTTAAATCTCGTGCTATATTTCTTAGAATGTCTGGCAATTTCCCCTGCAAAACAGAAGCATAGTGTTTAACTATAAGGTAAAAAGATAATTCCCAACTGAATCATAGGAACTGGGGCAACTACAGGACTAATATGAGAAATTTAATTGTCTAAATCTAATTACTGACAATGCTGATAAACTTTCTTCTTAATTTTCCTGGTGCCTTAGCTCTTGTGGAACTTTTAAAATACACGACCTTTAAAGGTGAAAAAACATTTGAACCTAATTATCTCACATTATTTCCTAAGACATTCTAAATAAAAAGAATAAATGATTACTATATCCATGGACCATCTTATGATAACAGATTTTTTAGAAATTTAACACATCTCTTAGAAGTAGAAAATCATTTTGGCGAGGATCATAAATAGATGACAAAACCTATTAGATGAAACTGTTGTTGAACAAGATAGTCTTTGGTTACTGATAACTTTTAATTTCAAATGTATGTTTACAGCCAGGTTCCCTTAACCAAGTGATCAAATTTAACATCACCAGTAATCACACAGGTTAACATTTCATGCTTTTTGATATAATGCAACAGGGGAAAAAAAAATCACCTATGCTGTATTCATCCAAAAATATTTAATCTGAATCTAATCATTAGGAAATATTCTAATAAACTCAGACAGTGGACCATTACACAAGACAGCTAGCTTAAGCTCTTCAAAAATACCAATATTATGAAAAAAATTAGGAAAAATTACAGAAGACTAGAGAGACATGACCATAAATGTAAAGTGTTATATTTGATTAGATTCTGGATTTTTCAAAGTATTATGGAGGATACTTATGGAACAACTGAGGTAGTACGAAAATGGTTAGTATATTAGATAACTGTAGCTTATAAATGTTAAATTTCTTGGGTGTGATAAAAATACACTAGTCAGAAAGAGACAGAGGGAAAAAGAGGGAGATAGAAATATTCTAAAATGTTAAGAACTGGTTAAGCCAGAAAGCTATTTGGGTGTTCATTATATACCATATTTAAACTTTTCTGTAAAACCCTTTCCCAGTAGGCCTCCTTCCATTTTCTTTTTTGAGAAAAAGTCCTATTTTTGCCATAGCACTTTTTATTTATTAAGAATTTAGAACATCTTTTAAACTGTGGACAGTATAGTACTTTCATTAGGATTTTTTTTTTTTTTTACAATGTTATGGGGAGCAGGGAGACTATGATATAGAAATATCTCTCTACTAGTAAATATACTATTAATACATTCTCCTTTTGAAAACTGCATACAGTACTGTAATTTCAAGTAAAAATGCCTCACTTTGAAGTATAAAAAAAAGGATGCAAAGGACATTATCCTGCTCAGGGAGGGTTCTTCCCACTACTCCATACCAAGCAGTGCGGATTTCCGGTCCTCCCCACTCCTCCCCCAACCCCATACTGAGTAAGCCAGTCTAGTCTCTCCAAGTGGTATTCTGTGATGGAGTCACACTGTCAACAGCCCAGAGGACACAAAATGACAAAAACATTTGAACCCTGGAAGTTTTCTCATTCTTTTAAGATTCAGCTGCTTTTACTGAACATAAATTTCTAATAATCTGAAAGGAAGTCAGAAATTCACTTCCTATGGCCTATTTTTATTTTTCAGTCAGAATAACCCCCTCAATAAAAACACGAATACTCAATAACTGTCAATAAATAAAAGTACAAATATTTTGAGTCTTGGCTTGGTCAGGATACTACTAAAGTTGTCTTTAGTACTAAAAGACACTAAAGTACTAAAGTTGTACTAAAGACAACTTTAGTAATGTGCTTGCTCTCTTTGATTTACAAAACGAATTTTACAGCTGAAAAGTATCTCCAAATCATTCTGTCTAGTTCACACCTTATTTTACAGTTCCAGAAACTAAAGCTCAGAAGTAAACCAATAGGATTCATGACTGTATTATAGCAGTAAACTGGTTAGTAGTCTTAAACAAGTCATCAGATTCTGCAACAATAGTTTCTACTACACATTACTTGGAAATGGCCCAAACATGAACCTGGCTACCAGGCCTAACTTGTTGGCTTGTTTGCTCTTACTGAATTTGATTAATTACAAAGACGGAGAATATAAACACAAAGGGATTATGTCCCACATGGGGTGGATTCCTTTTACCTTGTGAACCATGAAGTTCATTCCTCGACTGTTTCTCCCCATGTCCTGTCATAATGAGTCTCCACACATCCTTTTACTTATATTTAGATGTCACGCAATATTTAGCACCTGAGATTTTCACCCTTAAATGAAAATACTTTTTTAAGTGTTTTCTGTCTGATTAATATATATGTGCAGTTACATTTAAAAAATGTATTGAGTGTTTCAGTGCTTTTCACCTAAGATTAATGTTAATACACTTTTTAACCTTTTTACATGCTACCAATATGTCATAAAAATGTACCATATGTATTATGCTAGGTAGTAAGTAGTTTGAGACTAATAATTTAATTAGTCCAAATGACAACAACTCTGAAAGAGACATTATTTCTTTATTTTAAAGTTGAAAGGACAGAAGTATAAATAGATTAAGTGATTTGTCCTGGGAAATAACTTAGACCCAAAATATAAGGGTAGAGTTAAATTCTACAGCTTTTACTCTTAATTAGTACACTATTCCATCTCTATGTAGAAATTAAGGTTAAATAAATATTGGCTCAATTATATAAGACTTAAAAAAAAAGTTTAAAAATTGCCATTCTAACTTCATATGTGAGTTCATACACAATAAAGCTTGTCTATATTAAAAAAAAAGTTAAGAGTATAAAGTGGAGAGATTTTAAAAAGGAGAATAAACCAAGAGCTAGGGAATATACAGTTACAAAGCACTCATCCATTATCTAATTTAATATTTTCAATTTTGAGCAAAAATTCACTTTACCAAGATAATTTGATATCAAGGCTTAGTGTCAACAAAATACTTGTGAATCTAAATGGAGGATAAAGAAGCAAAGAAATTAAGAAAGTAAACTGGGAGATTCTTGTAATAGTTTAGATATGAGGTGACATTGGTTAGGGTCAGTGTGTTAGTTGGGAAAGAAAAACAAAGACAACGGAGAAACACTTCGGAGAAACACTTCGAGGCA